GAGATGAGGAATTAAGACTCGTACAAAGAAGATTAAACAGGAGAACCTCTGATTGGGTTAATATCTCATAAAATAGGGCTTACGAAAGCTGGTGGTGTTCTCACTGGGCAAAAAACTCAAAAGAAATGCTGGCTCATCTTCAACCTGCTCTACTTGCTAATGCCGTGGAGCCTGAGGCCGGGGTCAGCCAGTGTGTCCTGGTTACTAACTCGGAAAACCCACATTCTGGAACCTGCCGGCTTTTTCCCACAAACAGTTTATCTGGGGATTATCTTTTCTGCAAACCCATTAAGTCTAGGTCCCAGGAAAGTATCAGAATTCAAGAAGGTTTAGACAGCTCCCCACTCAGGACTGATCTAAAACCAGCTTGAGTAAAATTCCTCCGAGGGAGTTCTTCCCGCCAAGAACACTTCCACAGCCTCTACCTCTGCCACCCCCAATATTAAGGTATAGTGAACAACCCTAAAAGAGTAAAGTCATGCTTCCAAACATTCCTTAAGAACCAGCAGTAGCTATCAAAATTAATTTACCTGGGGCGCCTGGGTGGTTCAGTCGGTTAAGCGTCTGCCTTCGGCTCAGGTCATGATCCCAGGGTCCTGGGCTAGAGCCCTCCTGCATCGGGCTCCCTGCTTGGCGGGAAGCCTGCTTCTCCTTCTCCCACTCCCCCTGCTTGTGTTCCCTCTCTCGCTGTGTCTCTCTCTGTCAAATAAATAAATAAAATCTTTAAAAAAAGTTAATTTACCTACGCTCTTCAAGTTGAAACAACTGATACTGAGCACCAGCTCTTCACTTCTTTTACATTTTCAGAGTGCACATCACAGTGGGATCCCACCTGCATGTGGCTGGTTCCCTTCTAGTACTATTAACTAGTACTATTAACTAGTACTTTGCATATCCCAGGGCTTCTCTCATAAAGTTTCAATTCAGAGGTACTCACAAGAACCTGGAACAGGACTGTGTAAAGTGATGTGGGTGAGGTGGGTACCTAACCAGCAGGTGCTCACAGCTCCTAGGACGACAGGTTCTAGAAATAGCCCTCATCACACCAGTGACGGCATGTATTACGTCCCGAATGAGAGACACCTGCCAAGCGCACAGAGTTCACACAGTGACAGAGAAGAACGGGGGGAGACAGCACGGGGCCTGGACTCAGAGGGAAGAGTTAAAAGGGTTGGAGGTAGAGCTTTCTGAACTGTTGTGGTGCCTCCAAGTTTCTAAACCTGCCATTACGTCAGGGTTGCCATGGGAGCATTAGAATGTGGCAGCACCTGGTTGGCGTGAATTGTAAAGATGCTGACTGGATAACCCAGAAAGCAAGAAGGAGGTGAGGAAATATACAATGAAACAAAATCCCTACATTACATTTTGGGGCAATTCTTCCAACTTCAGAAGATCCTAAGACAATTTTTTTGGATGCCATCATTGACATAAAATGTTTATCAGTAGTACAAAATTACTTCTAGAAATATCCAGGTTATGAGCAGTCATCCAACAAATATTGACTGTGTGCCCAAAGCACGGGACAAGTGAATGAGACACTGGCCCCATTTTCAAAAATCTTAATCTCATGAGCGGAAGAATATCCTGACACCCCCAAGCTACAGCACAAAGAAGAATGTGCAAAGACATAGTTTTTAAAATAGTAAGTGTCCGATGAAGAGGGTGGGGTTGTAGGAAATGAGGATCCAAGAGGCTGGCAGTAGGCACATACTAGGTTCACAAAGGAGGTGCTGGTGTTGCGCTGACCTTAAAGTCGGGATAGATTCATTACAGAAGAATCAGCATGAACAAAGTGTAAAGAGTGATGGTGATATGGGGTGGGGGGTGTTCAAAACATTGGGAAATAGTCTTATTGGGACAGAAAGGAGCAGGTTAGTAAAATGAAGTTTGGACAAAGGATAGTGCTAGTCTAGGCTCCACTGGTGGTTTTTTAAACCAGTGGTATCTGGGACCAGAAGTGGTGATCCGGTCGCTCTGTGAATGAACTAGGAAGTGGATGTGAAGGTAGGGGTGTGGGGAGGAGGTTGCAGCAGGGACCAAGACAAAACAGCAGTGTCCCAGGCAGCAGACCCAAGCTTTGGTGCTGCATCTGGCTGCTGGGGGCTTTGGGCTAAGGGTTTAACGAATCTAAGCCTTGGCTTCTCCGAATATAAGATGAAAGTTTCATCTCAGCTTCTTGTCAACTCAGACAAGAAAGTCCTATAATATGGATGTTGTCCAAAGCTGAAGTGATGGTGATCAGCCCTGAAAAAAAAGAGAAAAAGCAGCCCATGCACGTGCTAAGGAGAGTAGGGTTTATCAAAGCCTTATGGTTAGCTCTGGGTGGTGGAGTTATTAGTAGCATTTGTTTTCATTCTGCTTCCTTTCGTTTTTTGTTCTTTTCTATGCATGCTACATGTGTAATAAAAATGTACAGTTTGTTTAAAAACTATGCCCTCCCACCATTACCACCATGCTCACTCTCACATACACACACATATATAAAATAAAACTATTGGAATTCAGTTTTTAAAACAGCTCCAGCTACATGCTCACTCTGGGGGAAAGAATATGAGTAGTGTTTCATTACATGTTAACTTACCAATTATTCCGGAAGATGACTATGTCTGAGGAAGGTTACTATACCTGTTCTAATTCACACTTCTCACACCCGTGAGAGACAGGACCTCCCAGGATTAAGTTACTGTGGCAGTTTGGTTTGGGTGTTGTTTAAAACACATTATTTTACGACTAAGGCTTAGCTTCCCCACAGACAACGTGAAAATATACTCTCATGTCACAGATGAAAAGCAAGAATCTTATCCACAAACATAAAAGAGGAAAGTCTCCAAAACCATGAATGGGGAAATTACATCACTTTAATATCATAAATGATGTTTCATAAAAATATTAACAGAACAGATCAAATTGAGATGACCAGGGCAGGACAGACACAGGCTACCGGAGTAGCACATGCGGAGAGAATGAAAAAGTTATCTCAATTTTAATATAATCAAGTGTATCTTTACATGACTTCGTTCTCAATGAAAAAATAGTCTATATCTGCTCTTTCTCCCTCCTCCCTCCTACCACCCAAGCTTGCTTACTACAGTCCCAGTTTGTATTTCTTGCTATAAATTTAGAAACTCAAGTGAGCTCGCAGCGTGATTTCACTTCCCATCGTTGAGGTAAACGTGAAAATGTAAACACCTGCAGTTTACAGGGATTAAGGTGACATCCGGTGCCCCTCTTGCAGACAATATCCGATATTGAGGAAAGTAACCACAGAAACACTGAAACCACACACTTCAGCCAGAACTATACCTCCCCCCATATTTTAGCTGGAGAAATATTTCACAAAACTTAAATGTTAATCATGCAAAAATGTCCTTATTAGGATAACTTTGTATTCAATATTCCACAATGATTGTCTCAAAAAGAAAAAGCAGTTTGTAGTTGATATTTTCTGGATTGGGCCACTTAAATTCACTTCCTCCCCTTGAGAAGAACCCGGAGGGGCTGTCTGGGCGGAGGTCACAGTGTAGGGCGCTGATGAGGAGGGGTGGGCTGGTACGACTCCCTCACCTTCAGTGGCTGGAGGCTCTGTTCCTCAGGAGGGTGTGCCTCAGAGGGTCGAGGGTATGTCACTGCATGGCTCGTGTGGTTCTCTGTCATCTGCACAAAAGGCCATCTGCCGGGTACCTAAATGACTGTGACAACCCAGGTCCTGGCTTCTGGTCACAGCCCATCACTGGCCCTCCCGGTGACGTCGGCTGGGTGCCCCCACCGCCCCTCACCCGCTGGACCAGGCAGACCCTGAGGGCGATGCCTTCTGTCCCACAATTCCCACAGAGCACTGGCTTTCCCTGGTTTGCAGACCGACATGGATAGAGCCGGTATTTGTTGAGTGAATAACACAAACCAGTTCAAGCCAACTGTAGTCCAAACTGTGAGACGAGTGGGAAGCCAACAAGACTGATGTGAGTTACTTTTCCTGGTGCTGCTGAGCCCAGAGCAGTTGGCTAGGGAGGAGACGCAGAGCAGGCCTGTCGTGCTCCCTTGGAGTGAGAGGACAGTGGGGGCTGGCAGGGGGCCAGGGGCCAACCCTGACTAGACCTGGGGGGGCCTAACCACTAGGGGCCTGGACCCATGTGCGTGTGTGTTTTATTTTGTTCGTGGATGTGGCTGAAGACCTGTGTCCACACACAACACATTGAAGACCCCCAAACACGGCATCCCAGGGTGGGACCACTGTTTCCATTGGGTGCAACAAAGCCACTGGGGTTTTGCCATTTGAAATGCTTTTCCTTAAAGCCACGGTCGTTTCTCAACTCCATAGATCCATGAGAATGCACAGACAGGGCTGGCCGGCGTGGCTGTCCTTGTGGGAGGGGATGTTCCGGAGGCCTTTCCTCATCCACTTCTGGCGATCGCTGCTGACAGACAAGTGCCCAGAAAAATTAAGATCCGAGCAACCGAGGGTCAGGATATCTGGTTCCACTGTTTTGGGGTTTTGTTTTGTTTTTTTTGGTTTTTTTTACCACCACAAGTTGCTTAACATTTTGCACAAATCCGAGCAGCCCCATGCCTTAAGCACATCACACCCACTGGATTCAGAAAAGTAGGCCAATTATAAGAAGAACGGCATCTGCGTGGACACGTTATCTACACCAGCTTTTGGTCAGTTGATCGGATCTGGTCTACCGTGTGTCCTTCTTTTCCCCAGTTGGTTGGTAATAGCTGACAAGGCCACATCATCATCTGAGTGTTCTTGATGCCCGGGCTCTGTACCCGGAATGTACACACCATGAACCCCCGGGAACCAACCAGCAAAACATGTAAAAAGCCTTTCCTGCATTTTGTGCGTCTGGCTGGTCTGTGTTTACTGGGTCTGGTAGGAACCAGCTTCTTCACTCAAACACGCAGGTGAAGCGTGGGCTGTGTCCTCTGTGTCCTGGCTCCCGCCGAGGGCCTGACGCCGCTGTAGGCGGCAGTCCCTGATTCCGTGTTTTCCATTTCAGGCCTACATGGAGGACCACTTGAAGAACAAGAACCGGCTGGAGAAGGAGTGGGAGGCACTGTGTGTCTACCAGGCCGAGCCCAACAGCTCGCTTGTGGCCCAGAGGGAGGAGAACGTGCTGAAGAACCGGTCTCCGGCGGTGCTGACCTGTATGTACCCAGCCCTGGCGCTCCCGGGCCAGGGGAGGGGGAGGTGGGGGCCGGGTGGGGCCGGCAGCACCTTCCCATTCGCGCCTGTGTTTCTGCTCATGGCTGGGAAGCCATCCTGGCCTAGAAACAGAGTCAGTGTCTTCCTTTGTGGTCCAGGGGCACAGTCCTGGGTTGAGGACATCCACACACCAACGAGCACTTGCTTTGTTTGCTATTACTGTGCAGTTTGAGACTCATTCCTTAGCCTCGTTGAGCCTCTTTGTCTGTAATTGGGATCCACCTGTCGTCCTTGAAATCTTCGGGCCCTGAGGATAGTTAGCACATTGCCTTCCGCACTGTGGGCCCCAGGTGGGTGGTGGTGGGTCCACAGACATCTTCCGGCCTCACGCTTACTGCAACAAGCATTGTCGAGGACCTGCTCTCGGCACAGGAATCACCACCAGAAAACAGAGATACAAAAAGATACCAGTTCTTCAAAGCAGCTTGCTTCGAGTAGGAGACAGTCTTATTTTATGCGTTGTATGTGATGTGACTTACGGACGGACAGGCCCGCGCAGAGGCCGTAAACAGACAGACTGGCTTAGTGTGCCCCTTCCTGGCCGCCGGGCCCCTTTCTCAGTCACTTGGCCAATAAACGCAGGAACCTCCTGTGTTCTCGCTGGTTCCGGTCCAGGCTTGCACCCTGATGAATGCATGAACCCACCCTGCAGAGAGGACAGGGATGTGAGGGGCGTTTGTGACCCAAGTGCCCGACGTGAACAGACGCTCTCCTGGTGCTGACCGCGTGGGCGGCCAACACGTGCGCAGTTGCCCCGTCCCCGTCCTAGTGCCTACAGGCGAGACGTAGTCGGGCACACTTCAGACGTAATGCAATGTTCTTTGTCGGCTGACATTTTCAAGGACACGCCAAAGCCACACTCTCTGCAAAATCTGCGTCCACGGTGGGGACGATCCCCCCCCACGCCGTGTCCCACACGCTGTGCCCCAGCCCTTGGGAGCCAGCGCTGCAGTCAGCCTGGTGCCCCCAGAGCACGGTGCAGACCCTCTCCCGATGGTCCCGCCTCACCCGGCCCGGCACAGGCTGCCGGAGATGTTCTGATGGTAAATGGCAGCAATCTGATCGAGTTTGCAGGTCAGAAGATTAAAAGCTGGCCCCTTATGTTGCCATCAACACTGACCTGGGCATCGCAGACCCTTGAAATCTGAAGGCACTTCTGGGCATGACTTTTTCTAACAGTTCAGTGGGGGTTCAGATGAGGCCATCCATTTCCATGAGGTGTGAGGGGTTTTTCCCTGAAGAGCTTTAAAAATAGGAGCTTTTAGGGGCGCCCGGGTGGCTCAGTCGGTTAAGTGTCTGCCTTCAGCTCAGGTCCTGGGATCGAATCCCAAGTTGGGCTCCTGCTCAGCCGGGAGTCTGCCTCTCTCTCTCCCTCTCTGCCTCTGCCCCTCTCCACCTCTTGTTCTCTCTCTCAAATAAATAAATAAAATCTTTAAAATTTTTTTGAAAAATAAAAATAAGAGCTTCTATATTTAGAAGGAAAGTAACAAAGAACCCACAATTGACTAACATATTTATTAAGCACCTACTGTTGGGGGGGGGAGCCACTGACAGGCTGGGAGGTGTGATGACCTACCAGGGCCGCTGTGGGGAGGTGGGGAGGCTTCGGCCTGAGTCTTGGATACGTAGCTGTTTGGGGCAAATAGTCCACAAGCTTAGATGGAACGTCTCCCTGGGTCTGGTCGCTTACTTGCACTGTTGGGTCCCGTATGGTAAATACTAAAACTCACGTCCTCTTCCTCCAGCACCCCTCCCACAGTGAAAGACCAGACTGCAGCAGGTGGCCCACGGAGTCCCTGTGCCCACAGGACCTTCGTGACGGTGGGGCACCCCGTCCCAAGGCCATGGGAGCCCCAACACCTGCCCTTTGACCAGAGCCTCTTCCTTCTTCCCGTGGCGCTGGGGATAGGTGGCCGATGCTCCAGCAGCATGCCCCAGCTCCTCGCTGTCCCGGGTCATGAAGGGGCAGCTGTGCGGGCCACGGAGGCCAGGGCTGGCACAGAAGCATTTTCGTGGATGACCCGTAGCGACCACCCTGTCCTCCCCGCTACTGGCCGCCTCGCTTGTCGGGGGAGTCTTACCATCTCAGCCTGCACCCCTTCCCGAGCAGGATGCGGGGGGTGGCGTGGAGAGAAGCTGAGGTCTCGGTCGGTCTTGCCAGACTGCACGGAAGAGAACTACCTCCTCTTTCGGAAACTCTGCTTCCTGTGGCTGGGCGCTCACGCTCTTCGTGGCACAGAACCGGCCCCATGGTGGGACCGCAAGGTGTTGAGGGTGGACTTCCCGCGCCTCTGGCCTCTGCAGGCCAGTGTGGGCCCCGTGAGCAGGTGGCCGGGGCCGTCAGCGCAGGACGCACTCCTCCCGGCGTCCACACTGGCAGGTGGGAGCAGAGCCGGCTTGCCCCAGCACCCTCCCCGTCCCTTCCACCAAGCTCCCAGGTTGCCGATTTGACGGGTTCTTGGATGCCCCGGGGGGGGACCCCCAGGGTTGGGCCTCCCGTCCTCCTGCCTCCACACCTGTCCCTTTGAGGAAGCCCTTCTTCAGCAGTTCCTCCACCCCAGGGGCGGAAGTGACTGCCTGACTTCCCCATCGCGGGCCAGTCAGCGTCTTCGGGGTCCACCAGCTGGACTCCTGCAGCTTCCCGGGCCCAGGGAACGGCCCGCACACCCCCTGAGCCTTCCACCCTCCTTCGCGTCTTCCCGTGTCCGGGGCCCGTCTGAGACACCTCTCCCGCCTCCTGGAGCTTAGGCTGGCAGGTCATGTGGGAGACTGAGAAGTGGCCGGGACATCAGCCTCTCTCCCCGACAGCCTGGCGGTCCCAGCTCCTTCCAAAGTATCCGTCAAAGGAGAATTTATGAGGTGATTAACTGACGCGGGCCGGGTGGAGCTATGTTATTTCAGAAGTTTAAAGAATCTAATATGCTTTCTAAGTGTATTTGTACTTTTAAAAAGAATTATGCAATATTCTGCTCATCTGCTCTTTAAATTAAGAACAGGAGAATGATGCTATTTTAGTGCACCGTTTTAAACAACAACAAAAAATGTTTTTTATTCTGTTACAAAAACAAGACCGAGAATTAGACGGAGACAAAAAACTACTTAGAGGTGAAACCAGAGAGTGAACAGCTCAGGATGCAGGCATGGAGAGAGAGAGAAAGCACTTAGCAGCATGCTCACAGCTTGGCTTTGTTGCTAAAGAGACCCCAGCCAGCCTGGCAGCCCTGGGGGAGGACGGCTGACCCCGTCTGGCCGTCCGCAGAGGTCAGGGCGCTGGGGCGGCACCGGGCTCGGCCGTGTGTGAACCCCAGCCCCGGGTGCCCGCACAGGGCCTGTCACCTCGAGTCCCTGCAGGAATCACTCCTGCACTTGACAGACGAGGGCGCTGGGGCACAAACCCTTACCCTCTGCTGGGGGCACGCCGGCCCTACGTGCTTGTGCTCTCGCCTGGGATTTTCCATGTTGGAAAAATGCACAAAAATTTCAAACTTCCACAGGAAGGAATATCCCAAATTCACACAAGATAGCAGTCCTTGGGATGAGCATCGCTTTCCTTAAAACACTCAGGAAATAATTTCTTTCCAAACAAACCTTTGGTTTACATTTGTTTTTCTAAACTCTAAGCAGAATCCCCACAGAGGGCTATCCTGGGTTAGCCTGAGTGACCCAGACCTGCCCTGGTTTGCCTGTCGCGATCGGTCATGGGTACGCCTCCCAAATCTGATAAGCAAGCAGGATTCCTTCCCTCTTGTGTGCGAGGCTCTGCACACGTGTGTCCCCTCGACGAGGAAGTTACAGGCCACACAAGTTCCTGTCTCAGACCCAGCGGAATCTCCCCTCGGAGTGGGGCAGGAGTGGGGCAGGCTTTGGTTTGTTGCCGTGGCGGAGACGACGTGCCCCAGGCAGCAGCTTGTCCGCGCCTCCAGGACCCGGGCCGGGAGCTGCCGTGACCGTCGCACAACTTAACCCATCACAGCTCAGATTTTGTATTCCCTGCACTGCTTCCCTCGGAGCCCGCAGGCGCGCAAGCCCCCACGAGGCGGCGGCCTCCACTCTGCGGCAGCACCCCCGCCCGGTGCGGTGAACAGACTGACCTCGCCGGCGGGGGGCGCTCGTCCCCGGCCTGTCCACACCCACCGCGCTGTCCGCATGTCACACGCCACGAGGTTGGCTCGCGTGTTCCGTGGCCCGGGATGCCCGCATCCCCGCCTGTCCTTCCTGAGGTTAGAGGCGCTTTGCCCTCATCTCTGTCAGCGGATCCTTGCTCACCATCAGCAAGAGTTTGATTCCTGGTTCCACACACCGCCTCCCCTCTGTCAGCTTTCTGGATCTGCACTTGGACGAACGTGATTTACGTGTCTTCACCTATAAAAACACATCCGACAGGGTCAGCACGGGGCACTGCCCTACCCAGAGCCCCTCACGCGGACACAGGTCTGTGAAGGGGCATTCGGTGGCCAGTGGTGAGCCAAGGCTTCGCATCCAGCCCTGCTGTGCGGCCCCGGGATCGTCGAGATGCTCACGGAGCGCTTGGATCAGACACGGGGGCAGATGCCGCAGACATGAACCCCGAGAGGCGCGGGTCCTGTGTTCCCCGTTCCTGGTAGAAGAGCCAGAGCCAAAGGAGGGGAAGCAGGGGGCCCCAGGCTTCCCTCCTGGCCCCACAGAGGACTGCCCGGCAGCGCAATCCAGCCAGGAGGGACTCCCGCGTGGGCCAGCCCAGGAGCCCTCACAAAGAAGGAATGTCACCAGCGTGGCAGGGTCTTCCTCCACACATTTTATTGCAAAAGTTTTAAAGCGCTCAGGTAGAAATGATAAGTGGGTGGTGACCCACACCCACCACCCAGACCCCACAGCTGCCGGTCAGTACGGGGCTGATTTTGCTTGACACGTGTGTGTGCTTTACTCACTTTCTGGCTGAACTCTTCCAAAGTGAGTTTTAGGC